GGCACGCTGAGATTGCTATTGAGACTGGGTATGGTGGCACGCACCTGTAATCCCAGCGTCTGGGAGGCTGAAAACAGGAGGATCACTACGAGTTCGATGTACATAGTAAGACCCTGTAGCCCCTGTACTAAATACATTAAAAAAAGGGCTGGGTGTGACCCTATATGCCTATAGTCCTACTTACCCAGGAGGCTGAGGCAGGAGGAGCACAAATGTGAGGCTAACCTAGGCAACATGGTGAGACCTCGTCTCAAAAATGAAACAGAAAGGACCAGGGATGTAGCTCAGAGGTGGAGCACTTGCCCAGCATGCCCGAGGCCTTGCGTTGAATGCCGAGTCTACACAATAATCATGCAACAAGATTGATTTCACCAACAAGTTAGGCTTGAGCTGGGTCTGCGAGACATAGTAAATTCTCCAGGAAAAAGGCTGGCTGAGTCAGAAAAGCACTTTGTGCAGAGGCGCAGCATTCTGGTGTTGCATCGCTAAGCTTCTTGAGGCCAACGGGTGGAAAAATCTCCTGGACGGAGGCACTGAATACGCGGCCTTCATGTGAGCGTGAAAACCGCCTTGAGCCCTAGCATTAAATTATACGCTGGAGAACAGGGTCTGAATATTGTATCGAACTGATATTCTAGCTAGTGTCTACACTCTGTGTGCATGTGACGTACAACAATACTACACAACAAAAACACTACAAAGAGTTTGTATCAGTTTTAAATGAAGTTTTCTAGGAACTGGACATCTAATTTTTTAGGAGTAAGAAACAATACCAGCAATATTTATTTGGCATGCATAATTTTCTATGTTTTCTTAAGGCTCTATTGCCATAACTCTTTCATTTCTAAGATAATGAAATTAAGGCAAGGAGAAGATAAACAACTTGCCCACAGTGGCAGAGCCAGTAAGGGGCAAAGTGGAGACTGAGCGCCAATCAGGTGAGCGCTAGGGTCTGATTTCAAGCCACGCGTGGCAGCACACTAGGGAGCCGAGGCAGGAGGACTGCTGCAAGTCTGAGGCCAGCGTGGCCACCAGATGTTGAAGGCCAGTCCTAATTACATAGCGAGATCTGTCTCAACAACACTAACATTATAGCTGTTATCCACTATATGCTAGTAACTTCCATTTCGATTTTATTATGTCTCACAAAATAAATGCTTTACATAAAATTAAAAATAATAAAAATCATACTTTTATTAAAACATTTGCTACTGCAACATATGCCTCTGTTAGTTTCTAGTCTAGAATATTCTAATTCTAAAATTAACTTCAGTTTAAAAAAATACTATTTACTGGTCATTATGTTGATGTCACAACACACTAATAAGTGATGGCCTACAAGTGGAAAAGCAGAGCTGGGTACAGGGGTACATTTCTTTAACCCCAGCTGTGGCTGGGAGGCGGGGCAGGAGGATTCCAAACCTGGGCCCATTCTGGGCCAGGGAGGTCGCCCTGGGCAAAGGCCTTGGGCTCAACTCTACCAACTGAAAACAAAAGGCTCTGCATTGTTCATACCCACCCATATGGCTATGCAGAATGGTAGATTAACTAAACATGCTAAATGCTAGACACACTAAACATTATACAGTAGTTTCCAGTAATCATCTTGGCACCAATAGTTTTCAAACCATTATATATACTTGGGATTCTCTTTAAGTCTTGCAAAGCCGTATTTTCCTTTTATTGAAGAGCTTTAAAGATACCTTAAGTGAGAACTTCCTTGACCACATGACTGCCATGGGAAGATTTTATCTCCTCCTTTAGACTTGTTAACCTTTTAGATGTAAGCTCAGCTAATACTCTTAGTCTAATTACTCGCCTTTGCGCTTTATAAGTCTTTGTGTAGGTGTTAAATTTGGTGCATTGGAGATTATTAATCCCAGCAATAGACACAGCATACGCTAAATGTTATTTATGTGTTCATATATGAACACTGTGGTTTCTCTTCAGATCACATAAATCTTTCACCTTCCACTGTTTGCAGGTATGCACTTTACTACTTTTTCATCAACATTACAGTAGCCAAGAGCCTTGGCAGTTTTTTCAAAAATAGCTTTTTTTTTCCCAGAACTGGGGACTGAATTCAAGACCCTGTGCTTGCCAGGCAAGTGCTTATTCTACTGAGCCATCTCCCCAGCCCCTCAAAAATAGTGTTAACTTGCACCAGCATCTCTGGCCAGATGATTAGCTTCCTATGACAATTCTGGATGTGACTGCTTAAAACAAGGCTGCTACTCTTCAAAAAAATATACTTAAAATATATACAGTGGGATTAGTTGTAAACACAAGGAAAAATGCTGGAAACACTCAAATGACAGCTTTGGAAAAGACATTACAAGTTTACCAGCTCAACCTCTAACCAAGGTCTCTAACTCCCTCACGGGTAGACTTTGAACCTCCGTGTGAATGACCCAGTGACGAGGAGCCGCTGCTCCATGAGACATCTTCTTCCCTTGCTGGTTATTTCAAATATTGT